TGGTAATCAGCAAGAATTTCTTCCAGTGAAAATTGGCACTCTTCGTCGTGTTCAGTAAGAAATTTGCGTATGTAACACATTATTGAAGCAGTCGTTTCGTTTACAGGTCTTCCAAAAGAATGCCTCTCGATTACTGGCCGTTTCAAACTTGTGTAACAATTCACGTGGTATCTTGCATTCACAGAAGTAACGTTTCTAATATTTGAAATTCTATTTAAAATGTTTTGATCGTGTTTATTTTTGTTTTCGGTTGCATATCGTATCATATTTTTATTTATCTCGTTGTTTTTCTAGAATATGAACGCTGCCTAAAGAAAGCCTTCCTTTTTTTCGCATATTATTCAAATAATTTGTCCCAGCATCTTCTTCACAAATTACACATAATTCTGCAAAGTTAAAATGTATTCTTTGTCTGCTTGGTTCTGGCTTTGATAAATCTTCTTGGCTTCTTTTTCTTTTTCTTTCTACGGAAATCATGGAAGATGCTATGTATGATTTGTAACATGTTTCATGCGTTTCTACGCACGTTAGATAATAATTCGTGTTTATTATCTTCTCTACTGATGCTTACTGCTTTCAACGATGCGATGCCTTTCTTTTTTATCACTCTGCTCACAGTAGATAAATTATTACCACAAATGAAACACGAATTGCTCGACATTTCCAATTTTCCGTTATACGCAACAATCAATCTCCTTAGCTGTATACGCGACTGGCTCGTTCAAAACCTAACAGTTTGATCTATCCCTTCTACGGGAAAACAAAAATAAACACGGTCAAGACATTTTAAATAGAATTTCAAATATAAGAATCATTACTTCTGTGAATGCAAGATACCACGTGAATTGTTATACAAGTTTGAAACGGTCAGTAATCGACAGGCATTTTTCTGGAAGACCTGTAAACAAAACGACTGCTTCAATAATGTGTTACATACGCAAATTTCTTAGTGAACACGACGAAGAGTGCCAATTTTCACTGGAAGAAATTCTTACTGATTACCAAGGGAAGCAACCATCTCGAAAGTGGATTTTTAGTAAATTGAAAGAAAAGTATGGAAGTGATTTAATAATTACAAGTTTACAAAATCGCTCGCCAATCTTATCTTTCAAAGGAAATAAAATTTTATACAATGCAAAAATTCTAATAAAAACACCGAAAAACGGTCTGAAAAATGCCTAATTTTCTTTAACGATATCTCGATCGCTATTCGACAAAAACACTTTAATCACCGCTCATTTTCTTAATTATAATGTCTACTTTCTTTTATTATACCACTAAAAAATCGCTCCAATGTATAGAAAAAAAGTTATACGCAAAAATGTAAAAAAGAACTTTTTCGAAAATTTTGCGATTTTTCCCTTCTGTTTTTACGTCATATCTAGCCTCTATAATTCAAAAATAAATTTTTTTTGCTCTTATCCTATGTAAAATTTAATTTCCAACAAAAAAGTGTTCTTGCACTTTTCTTGTATCTTGCGTCGTTTTCAAGATAATTATAAAATAATGAAAAATGACTCTTTTTGGTTATATCTGCAAAACGCACCACTTTATTTAGTAGCACTCCGCGGTTTTGCCTTACTTTTATGCCAAATTATCGTATAAAACAATAAAATGTCATTTCTCTAATTTCTTCCTTTTAAAAACCTTCAGGCAATAGCCTTAATAGTCACGGCGGGCCAATAGAGCGCCCGCCGTCGTCGCTAGCGTCCAATCACGGGCTACCTTCCCTCGAGCAGCGCAAAGCGGCGCGCTCGAACAAAACATGTTTTTCCGAAAAACATAGGCAATGACAACCCATCCCCTTCTATAAGGCTCCGACAATTATCACCTTATAATGTAATCCCGCACGTCGTTTGCCAAGAAGAGAGAGGGAAGCTTTCTAGAGGGGCATGTCTCAATGAAAAGCAGGAGCGAGGGGGGCACGTCGCCTTTTTTCCAGCAGAGTTTGCATCCGGGAGACGTGTTCGCTCGCGCCGCGCTGATCGAGGCTACGTGCTACTCCGCTCGCTGTTCAACCGTTCAGCGTCTGTTCAGTCGCGAATGTACAGAAGAAACTTGTATATAGTGTAAAAAGTGTATTTTATTAAACTGTGCCGTCCAAATCGCACTCCATTCTCTCAAAGGCCTACTTCGAATTTTCTCTCCTTGCTCCGTCGCGCTAGCGTTCGCCTCCGTGCGACCTCACGCTTACTCCACGTTCGTACAATAATCTAATATTATATATTATAGCAGAATATTTACTCTTTTGGAGTCATAATTCTAACAATTAGCTTAAATGAAATATTTACTTTTAAGATTTCGAGTGTCACTACTGCTGGAGTAAAAATACTATCTTTTCACTTCTTGCAGTTTAGAGAAGATTTAGTCCTGTTTATCACACAACTGATTGTCCTCATTTAACGTTTTTATAACATATTCAGTACTTGGTATTATTCTGTCCCACTTGATTGTAAATTTATAAATACATTTTTATATAATTAACCATAAGTGGTCACTTGCAGTAGGATGTTGCAGTTGAAGCACGTGAAACGTCTTGAAACAAACGTCGACTTCTATAGCGAAGATAGCTTCTATAAGCGAAGATATATTGTACAATATATCGTCAATGTATAAATAACAAGTGGTGATTTCATGTAGTGTGGGTCCAATAATGAAGATGACGGTTGAATGGTTAGTTTCAATTCCTTACATTTCTTGACATATTCTTCTCTGAGTTTAGTAACATCACCAGGAATCTAAATAGTATTATTTATAACTGTACACAAACTGAATACAGGAGATCCAACGTTTTGTACGATAAAAATACTTAAAAAAAATGATACTAAATGTACAAAAAATTATGTCAACTGTAAAATCGATAACGGCGTTACAAGTAACGAGTTACTTCCAATGTCTGTGAAAAACATTAGTAAGAATAATAAAACAAAATGTCTTGCATGATACAACGACTTGAAAGATTAACATGCACCATATTATAAAATAAAAAAGATTCATCTTCGACAATGATTGCGAAATATGTCCTTGTATTGGGTATGAAATATTACTAACCACTGCGTGCTTAATAGTGCTATCCTTTGCGTCCCAAATGGATGGTCTCCAATATTTGTCTTTACGTCTAGTCATTTTCTTTGGAGGCAGCAAATGAGGTAATACCATAATTTGTAAAGCGATTTTGGAATCCAAGACAATGAAGATATCTATCGAAATACGTCTTTTTTTTTAAAAAGGTAAAATATATTTTAAAAAATGTACCTTCATTAATGTTCGTATCTAGCTATGTTTCCATTAGAAATTGTAACTGATCATTTTTCTGACTTGGTTTTACAGCTTTTAAGTTGATGAAAAAATGCGTCCCATTTATCTACTGTTAATATTTCTTGACTTAAAGCCATACGTTGAAAATCGTCAATTATTAAACTATAACCGTGTGGATGCTTCAAAATAGGCCAAATGGAAAAAATACCGTTTAGTGTATTTTCTTTCGATTTTTCAATATTTACTCGACAAATACTAAACGTTTTATGCCAGTGCTGGAGCACAAGTTTCCACGGCATTTAATTACTTTGCAACCAGCGCATACCAATACAGCACACTAATGTTGAATCAACATCTCAGAAACGTTGAATTGCAAGATTGTAAATGTTGCAGCAACATCGCGAAATGTAGATTCAACGTTGAAAAGACATTGCAGAAATGTTCAATGTCCTTTGAATCTATGTCTTAGAGACACTG